AGGCGGAGTCGGCCCGGTCTTCCCTCCCGACCCTCGACCCTCGACTCTCAAACCCCAAAACGTCCTCCTCCGTGTTCCCTGACTTCACGGCCCGATGGACGCCGCCCACCTGCTGCTCCTTCAGGAGGAGGCTCCAAAACCCAGCACGGAACAGCCAACAGGACAGGCACCGCTGGGGGTATGAGTGTGAATGTGTGTGTGTGTGTGTGAGTGTGTGTGTGTGAGAGTGTGTGTGAGTGTGTGTGTGTGAGTATGTGTATGTGAGTGTGTGTGTGTGTGTGAGTGTGTGTGTGTATATGTGTGTGAGTGTGTGTGTGTGAGTGTGTGTGAGTGTGAGTGTGTGTGTGTGTATGTGTGTGAGTGTGTGTGTGTATGTGTGTGTGAGTGTGTGTGTGTGAGAGAGTGTGTGTGTGTGTGAGAGAGAGAGTGTATGTGTGTGTGAGTGTGAGAGAGAGAGAGAGTGAGTGTGTGTGTGTTTTACGCATAAACGGGATTGTGGGCTCAGAAGCCGCTAGAAAGCTGTCCAGGGCCTGGGGGTGCCTTTTGGGAGTGGGAATCAAACCTTCATGTTCTTCCCTTAGAATTGTTTTTACAATGATAAGCATTTGTCTGCAAAATTCGGGGTAGAGTAAGAATCCACCCCCTTCCCCCTTGCCCCCCATACATATACACACACACACACACACTCACACACTCACACACTCGCTTTTGACAGACCCGGGGGTGCGGGGAGGGTAAGGGGAGGAGGCTGTCTTCTGGCCCCACAGGCTGTGCCTGAAAAACAAACAAAGGTGCTGACCTGTCCCTGTCCTCCCGGGAGTGCAGTAGCCTGGAGGCGGGCAGCCAAGGTTGCCTGGTTCTGACTCAGTGGGTCTGGGTGGGAGCTGGACTGGCCTTCCTCTCCCCCAGGCCGCCCTGAGGCCACTGGTCCGGGCCTCACTCAGGGCCCTCCCTCCGACTCGCAGCAGGCGTTGCTCATGCCCAGTGACAGGCAGGCCGGGGACAAGCCCGCAGCTGCTCGGCCCAGAAGGGGAGCGGGGCGAGGGTCCTGGAAGAAGCGTGGAGAGGGGGAGCGGGGGCTGCTGACGTGAGCCCCGTGCTCTGGGAGATCCGACCCCCCACACCCACCCTTCCACACAAGGCACCCGGCCCTCCAGCCCAGCAGGGAGGCAGGGAGGCCGGGAGGCCGGGCGGCTGGAGCGGCGGTGAGGCTGGGAGACACGGAGGCCCAATCCAAGGCCAGAGTGGGCCCAGGCAGAGGCTGTGTGTGTGTGTGTGTTTGGACCCTTGGACTGACTCTAAGGCGTTCTCCGTCAGGGATACAGCCCACACCTGGCACCACCCCCAGGTGCGCGCCTGCTGCGGCACTGCCCGCGGGCCCCAGCGCTCTCCAGCCTGGCACAGGCCGCCTGTTGCATAAGCCTGCCAGTGCCGGCCAAAGGGCCTTTGCCCGAGGCCAAGGTTTCTTCGGGTTTCAGGAAGTGGGAGCCGGATTTCAGTGCTGGGGAGGGCCAGGCCGCTGGCCCAGAGGGTGCTCCTCTTTCAGACGGAGCCCTGAGCGCCCCTCGTCCGAGTCCATGTCTTGTAAATTGTGCTGCTCTGAACGTGGGGATACCTGTATCTTCTCAAGTTACTGGTTTTGTTTTCTCCCAATAAATTGCTGGATCACATGGTACTCCTATTTTTAATGTTGTGAGAAAATAAATTGAATTAGAATGTAAGGAATTGCAGTCTTTCGTCGGGGCCGGCTGTGTGCCCCCTGGAGCCGTGCCAGCCTCGGCTCGGTGGACGTCTGGGGCCTCGCAGCTGCGGACAACGGCCTTTATTTGATGAGACCAGCACAGCCCGTTTCTGTTACTCCTGCTGGCGGTGAGGAGCCACCAGGGGCGTCCGGGAGGGAGTGCCTGACGGCTCGGCCGCCAGATGATTCCTAGGATGTGGGGGGCGGAGGGGCCTGAACAGGATGGGGTGAGACCAGAGGCAGAGGCAGAGGGGCCAGGCGGAGACATGGTAAGGTAACCGCCCAATGCCATGACTCAGAAAAGGGAGATACTGGAAATGGAACCTCACGCTTCAGCGGCCACCTAGACTCGGGGGCCCCGGGGGCAAAGTGAGCCCCCAGGGTTCGGGGGCTTGTGCGACTGGGTGGATGGTGGTCCCGTTCACCAGGAAAGCAAGGCGAGGGGTAAAGAGCTCAGTTCAGAACAGGGTGCACGTGGGGTGCCTGAGGAACCCCAAAATGTCAAGCTCGCCGTGTCCAGTTGGACCTGGGTCTGACCCCGGGTCACTGTTAGGTCTGGGCTCTACATCAGACCTGACACACACGCTGTGCGGTGGGTAAAGCCCCGGCCACTTCCTCCCTCAGGGCAGCATCGTCTCCCGCCTCTGGGCCTGGAGGCAGCAGCCAGGAGCGGCGGGAACCAGGAGCGGCAGGCGGGCAGGATGCTGTCCAGCCGGCGTGCTCCACGCTGTCGCCGTCCCTCCGTCCCTCCGGCTGGAAGCCCTGTGAGCAGCGATGTGCAAACGGCGTAAAGTGGAACCAGCTGGAAGGCGTGTTAAACCCCCTGCTGGTCCCCACCGCACAAGGTTTGCTTGTTTCTTTGTTGTTGTTGTTAATCCTCATCAGAGGGTATTTTCCCATTGATTTTAGAGCGAGTGGAA